CCCTGAGGAGCTCTGCAAGGCCAGCAAAGCTCTTGGCAGCACAGTACCTGCGGGTCCTATGCTGTCAGACCGCCCAGAAACAGTTTGTCACATGGCACCCCCCCACACACACACACACCCCATGTGATTCTTGTTCAGAGAACAAATCTGCAGGCATACCATAAGCCTTCTGAATCTTGGTGGCAAATTCCCTTCCACCTACCATTCCTCTACTTTCTTCTTCCAAAAAGACTCTCTATGCTAGACCTCAACACACTTCCCTTTATGTGAATTTTCCCAAAATGGACCAGAGGAGATCCCTTTTATTAGCCAAGTAGCACTGAAAATGATATCATCTTCCAAGAAGGAGTTCTTTGATAATCCCAGAAGGGATTTATGTAGTTTCTTCCACTTTCTTGCAATGCTGCAGTCACAAGCCTAAATAGAAAAATGGCTTAGGAGACTGACTACCTATTAGATGAACTAAAAGAAAATGAGCATTCAGAGGTCACCCATGGAAAGTCCGGATGCAAACTCAGCAGGATGGAAATTTATACAGCCTTCAAGGGACCAGGAAAGAAATTGCTTACAAATTTAGGTTTGAGCTGTATCAGAGAGATATGGGACCTAATAACAGAGAGAAAACTCAGACCAAAACAATGATAATGCAGCACTTTGGATTCCCACACCACCAATCACTCACTATCCTACTCACTTCCAAGAAGAGGATCTGTGTGCTCAGAGGAATAAATAGAACCAGGTATTCTTCTTTGCCCCCCTCAAGAATAAGGCTTTTTTGTTTAAAGTTGCTGGGACTTGGGTTTTTCTGTAGGGGGAGGAAGAACTGGAAAGCAATAGGGAAAGTTTTCCTGAAGGTCCTATATCTAAATCAAATATAGCCAAACACATACTATTAGAAACAGACAATACAAGACCAACAGAGCACAGAGAGAAGTTTGTCACGTGAAATCTGACAAGGGAATTTTCAGGGAAGAAAAATCTTTGAGGTCCAATCGACAGCGATTTTAGTATGGAATCTAGTAATTTTTTCAACGCTGCAACATGATTCAGAAAATAAGATCTCAGAACTGCTGTATACAGTTACCATGACTTCTTTGCAACAGGTTGTTAACTCTGATCTTTAGTATAACATAATAGCGGATAGATAAAAATAAGATCAAAACATAAGACTCAAAGCCCCCAAATCTGCAACTGCAACAGATAAGGAGGGCTCCGATTGAGAAATTCCTGCATTCCAAAGCTGTCCAGGCCACCAGGAAAGCAGCCATACAATGGCTCATAGTACGTGGGCCAATCTTAAAATATTAGTATTACAACACAATGCTTTTCAAGCTGAATTCTTGTAGCTCTGGCACGCAGGGAGCTAGAAATAGAGCGCTTTGGATTTAGGATCACACATGCAGAGATCAGCCAGTGAAAAACACCAAGAGCAATGCCAGAGAGCATTTGAGCAGAGACCTAGGAAAACTGTCATAAAAAAAAGCCCACACACTTGTCAACAGGGGAAAGGAGACAAGTGGAGACAGTACACCAGCTTCTTTCCAAAAATAAGACTTTGTCACTCATTCACTCCCTGTTGCAGCTTAGGAGCTAGGACATTATCAGATCCTGGAAGAGATAACGCCTTACTCCTCTTTACAGCAACAGTCAACATCAGATTACCTGGGAGTGGACTTATTTCAGATGAGATCTACCTTTGTGCTGAGCAAAGTCAGGCAGGTCATTTCTTGGTCTAAAATAAAGGGTACCTTGTACCTCTCTGCACTGTTAAACATGGGTTGAATTCAAAAAAAGCTAAAACCCACCCTGCAGTTCGTAGGCAAGGAGATTTGACGGTACAGGTAGAGATTCATGGTTTGTTGACAGGACTAGAGAACTGCTCCACTTCCAGAAGCTTTTTATTAATCTATTTTTAAATAAGCAACGCTTTTCATAAGACAACCTTTTTTGCAGACTCCTCAGGAGTCATATTTATTCATATTTTAAGAGATTAGAGCAACAAGGGAGGGGGAATATGCTGCAGCGCATGCTCCAATTTCAAATTTCTTGCCTGGCAGCCTAGAAGTTAAACAGATTTTTATTGTCTAATTGTGGGCAAAGAACATTAATGAACAGCCTCACAAACAAATCGTCCAACTGTTCAGCCTAAACACCAGAAAGAGTACAGAACTACCAGTTTCATCTTCCACAACAGTCCAAGTACTTATATCTTACAATGCTTGGCTTTTAATCGCCTGCTTGTAAGTCTCAATTCTAAGTTTGGGCCAAGAATGTTTTGTTCCTGCCTAAAAAGTGAGCTTCAGACCCCCACCTCCAGCTAATTACTACACTTCTCAGAGAATAGGCCTCTTTCTTTAAGCCAATTAAACTGTTCAATTGACAGCAGCACTGTGACACTAGCTGCCCACTGCACTGAACAGCAGCGGTGGGGAGCCAGGTCGGGGAACACACACGCGCAGGGCTTGTCGAGCAAGTCTGCTGTGGTGGAAGACCAATGTGGTGGTAAGAGAATGGTTAGAAACAGTAAGTTTGTTTATTTTCAATACTGTACTAGAGAGCAACACACAATTCAAGTCTCCCCCTTAATTTATACATTCTCATGGGAATTTGGCAAGATGGCTCGAAAGAAGAAAGTTTGAAGACCTCTTGCAAAAGACACTGTGCTATGCCAGATCAAGCAAGCTATCGGTTATTTACATTCACTTCAACAGACACAAAGGAAGGCATTTATTTCCATCATATCTGTACTTTTAAAGAGAAACTAGTTAGTACAAAACTGGTCCTACCATTGGGGCTTGTCAATACAAGTCATCCAGCACAGCTATTCTGGAGTAATACGTAAGTATGACCAAACTATCCTGAATTAATTCACTACCACATAGACTATTCCAGAAAGAAAAGTGACCTCAGGAGGGAACACACACATGAGGAAGTTATCCTAGGCTTGTGCTAATGGGACGTTTCTTGTGCAAGCAAGGGAAATCCTCCAGCTACCGGGGAAAGTGATCTCCTGTTTGTACCTTCCAAGCGACCCAGAAGAAATTATGAAGCCCATTTTAAGCACAAGCTTCAAAAATTGTTAGAAGCAATATTTGACTCAGCCACACATGCAGGATTAAAATGAATACCTAGTTCTCCCTGCAATTAAATAAAAAGGACTCCTGTGTTAACACACAGGGCTGTGTTTCATCTCCTTCAGATAGGGGAAATAAAGCATCCAACAGTTTCCATTCCTTCAGACATATTGCTACAAACAAAACAAGAAAACTACAAACTTAGGTAGAGAGAAACTACCCAGACATGTTATCTTCTCGAGTCAGAAGAACGAGGAGGAGGCAGGGGCAGAGGGGAAAGAAAAATGCTATGCCCGCATACGTGGCAAAAATTACCTTAAGCAGCCAACAGTTAGAGTGACATTAACTTAGTTTCAGACCCGAGCCGCAGATTCTGTAGCATACAGACCATAGATTAGGCGCTGTCTCATCTCTCGTTCAATAGCTCTGAACCTGAATAAGAATTCCCCTTCTCTACCCAAAGGTAGAAAGGGTTAAAACAAAACACTTGCTGTTCTAGTCTAGTCAGTAAAAAGTAGGAGCATGTTTGCTTTTATCTGTGAAGATGAAATACAGATCATGAAACCAATGGAATAATCCCTTAAATCACAGAAATAGTGTTAAACAAGAAGAAACAGACCAAATGCCATGCCGTCAGAGCTCAGCGTGTGGATCAAACAGTACACGGACATTCAAATGGCAGAGTTTATTACCTAGAAGGACCATAAGCGCAACTTACAAAGTTCTTCTGGAGATAACTTTTGCAGCTGATAAAAGGTTAACTCAAATATTCCTTATTAGCCTCGCTGTGGTGTCAACGCAGCTATAAAGATCTCCTTTTTCAGTCAGGTTATCTCCCAGGACTGAACTGTTCAGTAGTACTTTGATCAGAACTCCCAGGGTATGATCAACTCTATGGCGCTCACATTACCTTCAGTTTTCCAGTACAGCAGTCCAAAAATATCCTATCCATCTGAAGTTTCATTTGCTATTTCTTGGAGAGTGCTTTCCTGCCCAGGATAAACAGCCTGCGCTATTACTTGGCTTGAACGGAAGAATAGATTAAAAGAAAACTTGTCCTTTCTCACAAAGGCTTATAACAGGAACTAAGATGCACTTGTCAGGTCAGTATCTCCTACAATTAAGATGAGGTCAGAAAGCTTCAGTCCTGTTCTGATGCAACTAATACGCATGCTATGCCAGCGAGAGGTAAAAAGGATCATGTCTTCACGCAGCTCAGTCTCCGATTATCGGGGCAGAGGGAAGCCTAGGTGAAGAGGTCTGTAACACTGAAGCGTACCCCTAACAAGCATGTTCAAATATATTTTAAGGCTCATGCATGAAAAGCACCCTGAAACTACTTACAAGCTACAAGATCAAAACATCAATCAAAACAGTTGGAACACAAGCAGGGAATGGAAATCGCCCAGCTGAGCCTATGAATGGAGTTTAAAAGCCTTGTTTATCTCAGCACGTGTGTACACACTAAGCCTGAAAGATATGAGTGAGCTACATGAGCAGCCCACCCACTCCTTACTGTCAGGCCAGCTGAAAGAGCACAGAGAAGACACTGCCAAGTAACAAGCACAGATTCACACCAGCAGTTCCCACTGCAATGGGTGGATGGGGCAGGGGGGAAACTTGCTTGGCACTATGCCCACAGACCTCCCCCCCAAAAACAGTGGGAAAAAGAGGAAGGGGGCACATATCACCTAGCAGCCACACACCAGCTTTCTGAGGCAGGTAACTGGCAGATGTGACAGGTGCCTAAATAGAGGCCACTCTCTGTACCGAGTGCACCTTCCCAAACCCCTCTGGGAACAGCAAACGGAGAGGAGTACCTGGAGAGCCCTCTTATCCCCCAGGCCAGCTCATAGTACGAAGGTGGATGCTGATACCTACTGACCCCGACCTCCCCCCTACGCCCCTGTGACAGGCATGTCCCACCTTTCTTGAACTCCTCCAGCATGGCATCAAGCTTGGTGTCATTGAAGACAAAGTGCAGCGGATGGTTGTAGAATCGGGTGATGGTCTTGAGCGGAGTGCAGTCATCAGGGTCCACGAAAGCCAGGTCCTTAACAAAGAGCAGGTCCACAATGTTGGAGCGGTCACCCTCAAAAACAGGGATGCGGGTATAACCGCTCTCCATGATCTCAGACATAGTGTTGAAGTCGAGCACAGCCTCAGCAGCTATCATGAAGCAGTCTCGGAGTGGAGTCATCACATCCTCCACTGTCTTGGTGCGCAGCTCCAGAGCTCCTTGGATAATGTTGAGCTCCTCTTTGACTAGGTCATTATAAGGGTCGGTGACCCGCAGCATCTCCAACAACTTCTCACGGTTATAGACCGTGCCGATCTCCTGGCCCAGGACACAGTCCAGCAGCTTGCTGACTGGGTAGGAGGCCGGGAAGGTCATCATCATGAAAAACTTGGTGAGGAAGATGGTGTTGGCGCCCACGGCCAGGCCGTGCCGAGAGCAAATGGCCTGCGGCACGATCTCGCCGAAGATGACGATACCGATGGTGGAGACCACCACGGCCACCAGCCCAGAGCCGGCAATGTCGTCCAGCAGGATGGTAAGCGTGGTGTTGACCAGGACGTTGCCCAGCAAGAGGGAGCAGAGCAGGTAGTTGCCCTGGCGGCGCACGGGCTCGATGCGCTTGGCGTAGTTCTTCTCTTTGTCCGTGCCACAGTTTTGCACGATGCGCAGTTCCATGGGGTCCAGGGCCATGAGGCCCAGGTTGAGGCCACTGAACATGCCCGAGAGGCAGAGCAGGAGCGAGATGAAGATCACCTGCAGCCAGAAGGGCAGCAGGAACTTCTTCTCCTCACCCACGATCATCTTGGTGTCCTCACCGTCGTGGTAGATCCAGGTGGTCTCACCCCAGGGCGGGGGTCCGGCCGGCCCCTCGGCTCC